TATCGATTTATATATTTTTCTTTTATTATATCATTAAATAAAGATAATTTGATATAATGATATCTTGATATACCGATATTTTTTAGATAAAACAAAAACATCATTATATTCAGCTTTGACTGTACACACTTTGCTATAGTTGACATTTAAATTCCCATTCTGCTATAATTGAAAAAGTACTAAGAATTGAAAATGATATAGTTCACTTACAACATTTTAATGTATCATCAGGTCATACTTTTAAAACTTTATTGTTACCATGCATTAAATGCTCTCTCAATGATGATTCTTTCTTTATTTCTTCTAATATGAGAAATAAATATGAAGCTTGCTTTGTGAATCTTCCTTTACATCTATATACTGACATCAAGACTCCCTCCTTCCAACCATTGGTCATATCTGTTCTTTGTTCCCTTACATATTTTATGAAATTGCTTTATATAATTACAATTTAATTGATAATAGTGCACTTAATGTCACTCTATCTTGTCCTCTCCATCTTTCACATCTGATCAAATTTTTAATATAGAAATCCTCAGTAGTTTAAATAATCTTAAAAGTCACTTTATACAATTAACCAACCTCTCATTTTATACTGATGATTCCCTTATCAACTTAGGTATTCCTTCAATCTGTATAAGCATGGCCTAGTTGCAATCTGACACTTCAGTACCTTTACTTTCCTTTAATACTATACTCATCCTTTTTCAACCTTTATCTTCTCTAGCAGAACTAGTAGCGGTACTATCTGTTATATATGTAGCCCCTACAAATACTACAATTAATATTTTCACAGATTTACAAAATGTCATTTCATCTTTTGATAAAATGAACTACTTCTACACCTTCTCTTCTTACCTTTAACACCATCTTTAAAATCTTTCTTTATCCAATTTGGTTCCTTGTCATAAAGCTAATTAGAGAAAAATCCATTTCCATTGAACTTCACAAAGTCAAAGCTCACTCTAATGATCATTATAATAATGTAGTTGATACATTAGCAAAAGCTGATAGTCCTCCAATCACACCAAACAACAAATTTCTAGGACACTATTATAATCTCTATTTCATTGAGGATATTGTACTTATTCCACCTAAATTGTTTATGAAAGACCTTCTCCAATCAATCAATTTTTATAATATACAACTACTTTCACACTTTAAGAAATACAATACAATGAATGTTGATTGGATTCGTATCTCTTTCATTCTCAATAATAATGAAAACAACTCCTATACATCCTTCAAAGCCTCTTCTATTCACAAATTTAAAATCAAACTCATGCTCAAACTACTTTCTACTTTAGAAATCCTCAAGATAAGATATCCAAATTTATATGATCAATCATGAAATTATCCTAAATGTTTGTGTACTTATGAAACTTTTAATCACATTTGGACTTGTGTCAAAATTAAATACCAATTCATTGATATTATATTCTCAACTAAAAGGTTTTCATATAACATCTTATTACATTGATCTCAAATACTTAGGATTTTATAGATCTTTTAAATTTGATCATCTGGTCCCTAAATGATCAACCTGACTCTTTTAACTTTATTGATTTGATCAAAGGAATTGTACTTCTTTCTCTATTTAACAAAATACACAGCCTTATTAACAACCTCCAATTAATAAACGTCTTCTATCTTTCATTTACCATTATGCATTCTCCTAAATAAAATCCATCTGGCTTGATCATTGCAATGATATCAAATATTTTGAACATCTTAATAACATCTCACACAATGATCGAAAATTACATTTCACCAATACTAGTTTTTCTTCATCATCACCACACTCTTTTAATATTCCTTCATACTTTATTTTCTCCTTTAGGTTTACTATGAACTAATTGAATTTTTAGATCAGTAGCAACCACACCCCTGTACTGAATGGTTAAATCTATTCTAAGTTTATTTAGGTAGATTAGTCTGGAATGGTGTAAGATTGATTTTGATTTAGTTTATTGCTAAATAGAAATTTTTGTACTCTCTATCTTGTAATTTGTAATTTTGTAAAATTTTACTTTACTTCTAAATAAAG